AATACATTACTAGTCTGAGATTTGGACAACGCTGAGCTATGAAATGATTTGTTATAAATTAATCGTAACCAAAGTTAGTTTTAGCTTATTTGTGTAATTTTTTTGTGTAATTAATTGATCTATTAATTAATTAATGCTAAAATTATTTTGTCATTTTTTCAAGGTTCTGCCCATTTGTAAATAAATAAACATGTTTTTTAAACCTATCACTCAATTGTGAGTTTCAGTATTACGCTATACGTGGTCCGTTAACGTCACGCGTCTCCGTCTGTGCAATGCGTGGTGCGTAATGTCGACGCCATGTATGTGTAAATGTTGCTGTGTTTGCCTATTAAACAGAGAACTTTTATTCAGGTCCACAGGGGTGGTATCAACGATATCTCAAAGTGAACGACGAATCTACGTACTTTCCGTGGTCCACGATTGTTGCGTATTCGAGAGAAATAGCTTTTGTCGTAATTGGCACGTTTACACTTACGTCACGAACGGCGCATTGCGTATTAGGTATCAATGGAGGGCCCACCGTTAATTGTACTCAGAAAGCAATTTTTACGCACCAAGGAATACCGGTCGCGCAAATGGCATTGTCCAAATCAATTCCAATTGAATTCTGACTCGTGTTCTTTTCTTCAAACCAATAAATTATTTTTATTTCTATATATATTCCAAGAAGATTGGTGTTGACACATTTGTTTGAAATGTGAGAGTTTTAAAATAATTGAATTCATATTATTTTGAATATACTCAGTAAGTGGATGACGTATGTTGTTTTTATATTAGAATCACACACATCCCGGGGCATGCACACACAGGCAAGCAAGCAAAATCGTGTAGTGAATTAGAATGCCAATCCGAATCCGTGGTTAGCGTTACAATTCCAGCTGAGGAAGTGGATGTTGCTCGGCTGTTCGGGTTTGTCATACGTTGGGAATCCTTGACCTGGACGCAATACGACAATATGAGTGGTAGTGTGGATAATGAACCAATCGCAAAACGCACGAGAAGAAGAACCGCCAAATCCGACCCAGCAACACCCACTGGCAAATATACTGCCAAGAGTGAGACTTGGAGACAACCTGGGGACTTGGGTCGACACCAGGTAGGTCACAATGGCGTTACCGTACATGCAGGTCCAGAGTCCACGGGCGACACTGATGTGCAGGTGAAGAATAAAACATTCACTAACAATGACTCAAACTCGAGACATAGTAGTAACAGCGATGACAAGGGTGACGAGATAACTGACGTACCAGCTGGAAAGGTAATAGCGCCTAAACAAACCAAAGTCACCTGCGGTACGCCGTGCGACCAGAAGGTGGATTCCAAGTCACCACCTGATGAAACTACAGCGACAAGCGGCAATGGTAATGGCACAACACGCCAGTGTATAGGAACTCTCGAAGGAACACCAAAGAAACGCCGGTTAGGTGATGACACAGTGGAACATAAGGTAAAATATACAGCAGTACGCGACACTACACTGACAAGATGTTTGTCTGGCAACTTTGGTGATCTCAGTAGTGATGACGACAAACTGTCACATAAGGCTAAATACGTTACGCCACCTCCTGACACTAGACGTAGACCTTCCAGGCGTGGTGGCAGTAACGATGTCATATTATTACAAAAAATCACAATCTGAAGCCGACAGCAATAGAAACTATTTCAGCTGGTTTCTAGGAGTAGTTGTTATCACAGCTTGCATTTTCGTATCACTCGCTCCTTTCAATAACCGTACCGGCGGGAGACAACACGACACACTCGTGAATAACGAACATTCGTTAGAGAAACTTTTAACGGAGTTCAAAAAAATCAAACAAACTTTTCCTGGGCAAAGCAAGCGGTTTTGGGATGTGATACTTGCATCGATGTATTCAGTTACAGCAAAACCATTACCCAAGCAGCCAGCGATAATACTATTGGCTGCTCCACCAGGTGTTCACGATGTAGTGGATGCAATCGCTAGAGAAGTTGCGGCAAGCTATCCTCAGTCAAGCCAACCGCCTGTCAATATCCATGCATCGCAATTTGCAGACACCACACAAAGTGATGCTAAGGAACAGTTGGATATAAAATTGGGAAACGCTCTTGGTGGAGAAAGTAAATCCGTTGTTATATTCAACCTGGAAAAACTACCTCCCAATTCTCTTCTAATTTTTTACAAATATTGTGACCACGAAACTGCACCATTCAAGAACGCCGTCATCGTTTTCACCGTCCACTTACCAGATTCGTTTGATTCAGATGACACTATACACCGACGCGAGCAATCGGTTGAAGATTTTTTAATTTCCAATTGGCTTGGACGTGGTTCTGATCACGACATGGATCAAGACAAACTCGGAGCTCTGCTCAGTCGCATCGCAAACTCAATTGCCATAGCAACAAGCAACAGCGGCAATAAGAAATAAAATCGTCACACTGAGAAAGAACTATGCGAGACAGACTACTCGCTTTTGGTCTGTTATTCACGTTTCTCTTGGGTGTTAAGTTGGCGCGGAAGTTGGTGACATATCGATAATTATCGCCATGGGCCACCGTATCATCGATATTATTGCCACCGTTTTCTCGGCCAGTAAGAATTCGATTGAACCATTTTGTGCGATGTTCACTGATAAATCACCAGATCACGTAAAGGAGAAAAATAGATGCAGAATTTGACTCTGCGCTTCGCGATGAAAGCAAATACCAACCTGGAACAATTGCCTCCGGATTCGCTGTTAATATTCTACATTACTGCGACCACGAAACTGCTCCCTACAAAGACACCGTATTGCCCTTTCGACGAGGACCAATCTGACCACAAACGAAAAGAAATCCTTGAGGAATATGTGAAGGCAAAGTGGTTGAAAGAATTTAATCGATGCATTGCTCAGTCATATTGCTAACTCTGTTGCTATAGTAACGTGCGTGCTTTGCATTACTTGATTGATGAAACATGATCATGTAGACGTGTGTAAATACCGTGACGATTACTGTATTTTTGTATAATACTTGTATTACCCAAATTTAAGTAGCAAAAAAAAAAAAAAAACGAAAAGAAAAAAACAAACAAATTTCCTGCTAAGGATGTCATATGGATGAGTGCCTGTAATTTATAATGTTGTTTGATAGTATATGTTTATGAATACATTGGATTAGTCTGTAGCACAGTTAAGTAATCCGTTAAGTAGTTAAGTAATCCGTCGATGAATCAGTGTCATTCTCCTATACGTATGTGCGTGTACATTTTGGTACGTACAGTAACAATCACTGCACATGCGTAGTAGTTGCTTTCATTTTTTATTCAACGAATACTATACGGTGTGCTACAAAAGCAACTTCAGTTGATAGTCAATCATAATACATTTTAGTCATCAACTTGTAGTATCAAACTATGTGGGTCTTACCCTGACTATCTTCATTGTTACAATCGGACGGAGTCCATCATTGAGAGCGCCACGACTTACGCCGCCCGCGTGACATGCTCTGTGTATTCCTGATTCATATTTGTACTCTATGCACGTTAATTACATACGGAAAATAGCTTGAGTTTTTAATGTTTCTATTCTAAACTGTTATTTATACAAGTCATTTAAATTGGGAGAAATTTAATATTCAGATAAAATATAGTCAAATTAAATTCGAACAAACCGCAAATTTTATTAGTATTTTTCTGTACATAGTCATTGGTCTCTACAAACGAAATTAATAAATGTATCATGATTTTTGAGATAAAATTGTAGTTTGTCTTTGGTGTCGGTCATTCAAGTCACTGCTATATATTAGTTTTGATAAATATGGTCTACAAAACCTAATATAGCCTGATACAGGGATGTCTGTTATCCAGCGCTGAGTAAACAGTCGGCTCCGCAAATCGGACCTTCAACGTCGTCGATACCAGACGAACACGCTTATAATAATAATAATAAATTATAATTAGGCAATACTACAAGAGAAATTATAGTGTTAGAACAAAAGAAAGATGAGGAGTCTGTATAGTGTGAAGTTTGAATGTGTTAACAGAATAATTATTATAACTTGAAAACATATTATGTATATAATATGTATCGAACTGCGCACAAACGAGCGACAGTAATAATTTTAAAAAAATAGACGTATTTGCGATCAGTTTGATTTGTTGAATCGCGACTCGTTGAGTTCATTGTTTGTTTCCAACAATTTGAACACGAATAAGTGAAGGCACGAACTGTGTACCGTGGTATTTTGAAATAGCGACATTGCCATGGTTACATGTTTAGTAACTTGTCGAGTATGTCTCAATTACAAACTAATTATTATTTGAACAAAACACATGCATTGTTTTATTCATTCTACCCTCATTTTTGGAATTGCCAGAACCATCTACGTACGGCTTTCCGCGAAGCGAAGCCACGTGGGCGTAATGGGCGTAAATATGGCGGCCGTTGGATAATAACATTTACCATAGGTAACTAAGACAATGCATTGGACAAGTGAGATATAATTATTTCCATAGTGATGGCAGTACGTTGGGCCACTGAAATAGTAGTATAATACATAGGAACATATTTTCTCACCAGTGAGTGGGCAATATTTGGGTCAGGCTGCAAAATTTAAGCTCCGTCGATAGGGATGATAATACCTCAGAAGACGAGATGATTTATCCCATGATCCCAAATGTCGTGTAGCCAAAGACACGATAAAGAATTGGACCAGGAAAACATGAAGTGAGCGGAACACAAACAACTCCGTTTTTCTTCGCCATTGGCGGGCCTGTATCACTTCATCCACTGTTTTTCTTCTATCAAACAATATGCAAACTATTTCATTTCAACGACAGGTTCTAAAGACCGCAATGACGGGAAACACTGTTAACACAGCGGTAATTTCGGATAAACGCACATTTGTATGATGACCCCACGTTTTATTATTTGTAAATAACATATTATTATTTATTATGCTAACATGAAATGCCACGTATGTTTGAGTTTCGACTATAATTGATAATTTATGTAATTTACATTTTTGTTTGACTGTAAGAGCCCCCACCCATTTCCTCGTGATCGCCCCATCAATTTTGTGGGAAATGTTTTTCTTTCATTTTCTCAAACGATAACAAATCATCTGGAACCAGTCTGTGTGCACGTGTAGCGTGTTGATATTACATCCAACGTTTTTAATGGCATGGTTCTGTGACATGGAAGGGTAACACTGTCAATTGGAGTAAAGTACAACAAACACACCAACGTTACTATATCAAGATTCCGATTCATAATCAAGGGATATATTCGCTATTACACATTCTGTGCAGTCCAGGTCGACAATAGCATTTATTTGTATACCTGCTAGACCCAATTGCGTTCACGCACGGGAGAAAATAACAGTTAGCAGACGGGCTAAAGAACACCCAAACTTGTTAAGAATAAAGTATACATGTTAGTTACACGGTTTTAACACCACAACAATGCAAACCCAGAAAGTGCAAATTGCAAAATAAAAGGTGTCTCGTCGCCAGTCCATTTCCCCCGAGAATAATGTCTCTAGGTGTGCTCGCGTTGGTTGTCATGTCGGAAATGGATGATTATGAGCAAGTTTTAGCACTTTTTCTTACACGTGTTGACCTCTTCGCCCGTACTGTACGCGAGCGCAACAATTGTCATTTGGATTTTGGTGACGTGCATTAAACTGACTCCCGGGATGGGGAAAAAATACCAAACCCGTATGCCAAAAACAAAACACTGGTAAATAAAAATAGGGCTCGTGTAGGTAGAATGTGTTTCTACCGACAACTCGTACTATTTTAAATAAATCCAGTAAGTAGATACTGCTTTTTTTCAAGTATAGAAGAGACTAGTGAATCAAGATTGTGAATTATAATACGAATCCGATGTTAACGTTAGCTAAATGTACATTTCCAGGAAGTAAACGTTGTTCGGCTCTGACGAATGTAGGCAATTCAAGTCATTGACCTTCACAATACGACAATATGAGTGACACTGGGGATAATTCCAGTCTCAAGTCGCACGCGAAGCCGGTCCCGTCCTACATCAACGAATGACACAAATGAAGCTAAAATGAAAAGCAAGACAAGACGGCGTTCACGATCGACGCACGGTGCTGGTAATAAAGCAAATGCGAGTCCAGAGTCAACAACACCAGTACGCGATGGCGTGTATGATAGACCACCACGCGTTGTGTCAGCTCCTGAATCCACAGCGACAAGATGTTTGTATCCCAAAATACTTGATGATAACAGTGATATTGATACAGTGGTACATATGGCTAGAGATATACCCAAAGAAACACCAGTACGCGATGGCGTGTATGATAATAGACCACCACGCGCTGTGTCAGCTCCTGAATCTACACCGACAAGACGTTTGTATCCCAAAATAGTTGATGATAACAGTGATATTGATACAGTGGTACATATGGCTAGAGATATACCCAAAGACACACCAGTACGCGATGGCGTGTATGATAGACCACCACGCGTTGTGTCAGCTCCTAAATCTACACTAAAAAGACGTTTGTATCCCAAAATATTTGATGATAAAAGTGATATTGATACACCGGTGCATATGGCTAGAGATATACCCAAAGAAACAACGACCCGCGATGCTGTAGATGGACGTTTGTATCCCAGCCTAAGACCCAGTGGTCCCAGTGCTGTGCAGGCTGGCGCTGGCAAATTAAACAAGACACAATCCGGAGCCGAATACGCAGCAAACAATTGTTGGTTTTGGTTTATATTGGTAGTTATTATCATAGCGTGCATCACAGTATTATTGTATGTCCTGTATATGCCGCACATTGGTCATAACAGCGCAGAACAATTCTGGAATAACGAACAGCTGCTAGAGAATCTTCGTACAAAGTTCAAAAAGTTCAAACAGACTTTTCCGGGCAAAGCGAGCGGTTCTGGAATGTGACGTATGCACCGATACGATCAGTTACAGCCAATCGGTCACCTGATCAGCCAGCGATAATATTATTGGCTGCTCCTCCAGGCGCACACGATGTAGTGGATATAATCGCGGGAGAAGTTGCAGCAAGCTATCCTCAGTCAAGCCAACCGCCTGTCAATATCCATGCATCGCAATTTGAAGGAACCACACAAAGTGATGCTAAGGAACAGTTAGATATAAAATTGGGAAACGCTCTTGGTGGAGAAAGTAAATCCGTTGTTATATTCAACCTGGAAAAACTACCTCCCGACTCTATTCTTATTTTTCACAAATATTGTGACCACGAAACTGCACCATTCAAGAACGCCGTCATCGTTTTCACCGTCCACTTACCAGATTCGTTTAATTCAGATGACTCTATACACCGACGCGAACGATCTGTAGAAGATTTTCTAATTTCCAATTGGCTTGGACGAGGTTCTGATCACGACATGGATCAAGACAAACTTGGAGCTCTGCTCAGTCGCATCGCAAACTCCATT